TTCTATTAATAAAGGACATGCAGTGAAGTCATAATCTTATCCCTATTCTTAGTAAGTGCAAGCAGATACTGACTGGTCACATTCAATGTGGTCTGTAAACAGTATGTTAATAAATCTCTTATAGACTAGACAGGAGATAAACAATAGTCATTTCTGAACTCCTCACTGTTTGGCCTCTTCTTTGGGGGATATCAGAGGAGTGGTCTATGACAGAAACATCTCCAGAGGTCCTCAGGGTCAGCTGCCAGCCAGTCTGCAGTCATGACAGCAGCTTTGTAGAATGACCCTAATTGATCTGATCTGATCTGATCTTTTCTCTAGGTGTTTTGGATTCACCTAGAGAAAAGGTATTATGTATAATTGCAGTTACTAATTATTTTCATAATAACATTATCTAATATTATTTATCACTTATCACCTGGTAAGTACTCCTTAATACTATACGCATACAAACTTTGATGTTCAAAATCAGACAACCAAATGGAGTAGGTATTGCCACGATGTTGCTGATGAAGAAACTGGGGCACAGAGAAATTAAGTTATTTGCCTAAGAAAGGTCACACGGAAAAAAGATGGTAAAGCCTGAACCAAATCCAGGCAATCTGTCTCCCTAGCCCATGCTTTGCAGCTTCCTCCTACAATGCTGTGGTACCTCCTGAAATTTTAGTGCTGCTTGGAGCCAAGTACCACACCCTGTATTTTTTAAGACTTCTCTCAATTCAGAAGTCTAAGTTGGAAAGGTCCCTGGAGAGGTAGAAAACCAGGTTCCCATTTTTACTATTGGATAAGAAACTGTTAGAACGAAATCAGCACCACACACACCACTGGGGATGTGCTAGAGAATTCTGAGTGTACCTGTGTAAACACTTTGAGTAGCTATTTATAAAATCGTGAGAGATAGATATTATGCTAATACACATTCAAGCTAAATAAAATAATTAGTATAATTGTCTTAGTTATTAACTATGAGAAATATAAAAAATACATAATATTATAATAATATATCTAGCCTTGATTCAGTACAGGAAGTTGTTATTGCATTCATTTATTGGTTTATTCAGCAACAAATATTTGCTAAGAACTAATATGGCTTAGGCCCTGGTCACAAATAATGCACAAACATAAATCTCTGCCCTTGTATAGCTTACATTCTAGTTGGGAGAAAGAAATCACACAAAAAAATTTTAAAAAATAAGTAATCTGCTGTATTATTAATATTATATGGTACATTATACATTATAGTAAAAAGTATGTTAAAGTATGTTAACTGTATTATATAACTATATATTATAGTGTACTATAATATTATATTATTAATACTACTTATAGAAGGAGATCACGTGGAAAAATAAAGCATGGTAAGAGAGGAGATGATAATAAAGAGGAGTAAAATTTCAAATTTTCTTAATTTAAAATGATTATAAATAAAGTTGAACTTTCTGTTTCACAAAAAATAAATACATACATAGGTAATGGCTTTCAGTTTTATTCTCTGGGGACCATCTATTTAACTTTCCAATTTTTAATTTATTCTAATTAGTTATATATTCAGTAGAATGCATTTTTACATATCATACATAAATGGAGTATGACTTCTCATTCTTCTGATTGTACATGATGTAGAGTTAACACAGGTTGTGTAATCATAGATGCATGTATTGTAATAAAGTCCAATTCATTCTACTATCATTCCAACCTCAAACCCTGTCCCCTCCCTTCACTCCTCTCTAATCTGAAGTGCCTCTATTACATTCCCCCCTTATTATGAATTAGCATTCACATATCATAGAAATCATTCAGCCTTTGGCTATTTGGGATTGGTCTTATTTCACTTAGCATAATATTCTCCAGTTTCATCCATTTACCAGCAAATGCCATAATTGGACTTTTTAAGGCTGAGTAACATTCCATTGTGTATATATAAATATATCACAATTTCTTTATTCATTCTTCTATTGAATGGCATGTAGGTTGGTTCCACAGTTTAGCTATTGTAAATTGAGCTGCTGTAAACATTGATGTGGCTGCATCACTGTAGTGTGCTGATTTTAAGTCCTTTGGGTATATGCCAAGGAGTGGGATAGCTGGGTCAAATGGTGATTTCATTCCAAGTTTTCTGAGGAATCTCTATACTGCTTTCCATAGTGGTTGCATGAATTTGCAGTCCCACCAGCAATGTGGTGGGACTTTTTCCCCACATCCTTGCCAACATTTATTTTTGTTTGTGTTCTTGATAAATGCCATTCTGACTGGAGTGAGATAAAATCTCAGTGTAGTTTTGATTTGCATTTTTCTAATGGCTAGAGGTGTTGAATGTTTTTTAATATATTTGTTGATTGATTGTATTTCTTCTTCTGTGAAGTGTCTGTTCAGTTCCTTAGCCCATTTATTGATTGGTTTATTTAGTTTTTTGGTTTTATAACTTTCCAGTTTTATTTGTGTTCTGCTGAAGTCAGATAAATCCCATTTAAATGTGAATACACAGCAAATAAACTAATTCTTACATAATTAAAGTTAATATTTAAAGAAAACTATTATCAAATCATAATTGTCTGCATGAATATGGCAAAAAAAAGGGAGAATAGTATTTGGGTGATTAAGTTGGAGAACTGTTCAAATAGGGACCACCAAACTTTTCCTTCCCAGTTGCCTTCAAAGTATCTGTGTTTAAGTTGATAGGAGGTGGAAGAAGACCAGAATCACTTACTCTGTGTTAGCTCTTGGCACTAAAGATGAGATGCCCTATCACCAGCCAATGGGGAGGGTCCTGTCACCTCAGCTTGTCTGAGATACACAGTCCTCTGTTTCCCCCTCTGCTTGCCTACGAGACCGCCTCTGGGGAGAAAGAAGAAGTTGAAAAGTAGAGCACACAAAAAGAAGCAAGTTGATTGCAACCCATTATTTATTTTTGGTACTGGTGATTAAGCCCAGGGATGCTTAACCATTGAGCTACATCCCCAGTCCTTTTGTAATATTTTACTTAAAGACAGGGTCTCACTGAGTTGCTTAAGGCCTTGCTAAGTTTCTGAGGCTGGCTTTGAACTTGCAATCCTCCTGCCTCAGCCTCCTGAGCCACTGGGATTAGAGGCATGTGTCACCATGCCTGGCACAAACCATTCTTTTATGTTACACATAAAAGTGTAACATAAAAGAATGTGATGGTGATTGGTGGTGAATGTAGGCAGTGTGTGTGTATTGAGGATTTGGGAGAAGGCAGAGGCCATGAGCTACACAAAGTAGGATACAGGCTTCCCCTCAAAGAGGATACAGGATGTACCAAGCGCTGGGGAGGAGTTGCAACCCTTTTCTCACCACCGGGTCACTTTCAAGTCACTTTTGTCAGAATAAGCCTTTAGCACCATGAGTGACCTCATGCAGGAAAAAGTCTTTTCATACTTTTAGATTCATTACTTTTAAGTGACAAATAATTACAGCCAATATTTGTGGACCACCTACTGTACACTAGACATTGTGCTTTACATACATCTTCCCATTTAATTCACACAAAGGCCCATGAGGATCTATGATTACTATACAGATAAAGAAACATAGGTTTATGGAAGTTCATTAATTTGTCCTAACACATGCCAGTAGTAAACACTGGCGCCAGAAATGACCGACTCTGGAATCTGTATTAATTCCATTTGAATCTGTAAATAACTCCATGATTTATCAAGAATAAGGAATATCTTTATGCTGAGCAGGAATGGCAGACAAGATGAGAGATGGTAGTGTTAAAAGAGCTGGCTTTGATTATGGCTCTGCCATTTATTAGTCATTTAGAGTTGAGAAAATTATCTAAGCCCTCCAATACTTAAAACATTTTTAACTGTCAAGTTTTAGAGAACATGTCATCTCTTGGGGTCTTGATATCTTGGCCATCTTCATCACCATCAGAACTATCACATATTGAGTCTTTTCTCAACTTAATTTTTTCTCCTACCTGAAATTGCCATGCTCTTCCCTCAAAACCTTTATATTAAGTGGTGGCTACCACATACTACTATACTACTGATAGTAATGATAGTAAATATTTATTGTGCACTTACTACATGCCAACTGCTTTTAGTGCATTATCTCAATCAATCTTTACAACTACAGCAAAAGATAAATACTAGCGTCATCTATAATTTATACTTAGAAAAACAGCATGCTTAGTACTCAACACTGCTGATTTCACTTGCATTTTTCCTACCTCCCACCCTAACTGCCAGCTGGTTTTGGAACTCCAAACAGGCATCCCTGAAAACAGCATAGGATTGCTTGCAGGAAATGGAACACTCCAGGAGTTTGACACTAAAAGGGTTTGGAACTGTCCACTAACTAGTGCTGCTGAGAACCTGGGTTGTTCAAAGGAATTTCAGATTCCCCTATTCCAACTTCCTTTTCCTTAGGGTACTTCCAATACCAACAGGTCCTCTTCATGGGTGTGTGTGGGGAGTGGGGAGCGCTGGTAAAACAGCAAAACCTGAGACGGAGCCTGGAGTCGTGCAAAGGAATCAAACAGACTTGGTTTATTAAAAAGTCCAGTCATTTGCTTTGCTTTTGAACAACCTTGAATGGCATTGTGGATGGGTGGGTGGGTGCGTGGGATGCTATTAAGTATGAACAAATTTGGAGTAAGAATCTGCTATATCTGCTATCACACGACGTAATTTTCTCCATTTTTTTTCTGATTGCAGATTTAATCCATTTTATCGGAAAAGTAGAAAATGCAAAAACAGCTAGATTTTCATTAAATTTTAATTATTCTCTTCCCATGCCTTTTCTCGCTTGCTCCATATCTTCCGAAGAAGACCTGGAGTGCAGGGTAGGAGAGACCCAAGAGCAACTCAGAGGGCAACAGCTCAACTTCACTCCCCTGCAGCCCCTGCAGCTTGCTGCGCCCCTCACCCCTCCCCCTTACCCGGCGCTTACCATTGGTCATTGCCATGACAACCAGCAGCTGCCGGGTCGGCTGCCTCTACCGCAGCAGGGGTGGGGCCGTCGGGGTGGGGGAGGGAGAGGAGGAGCCAGTGGAGGTGTCTGCTGCAAGTTCCTGGCTGCTTCTGAGCTCACCCCATCCTCCAAGAGGGAGGAGGCCTGAGCGGTGATGCTGCGCTGCTGTCGCTGCCGCCTGCCTCTGCTGATATTCTAGTGGGGCTGGAAGGGTGGTTCCTGTTGGCCACATCGCCAACCAGAGAGGAGGAGGAAAAAAATCCCAGCAGCCGCTGCTGATGTTGGGTTCGGAGGCTGCATCCGACTCGGTCACAAGGAAAATGGATTCAGTTTGCATCTCTCCCTCCTTTCTACAGCTTCTCCGAGTCTCAGCATGGTGAGTAGGAGACCTAGGGGCTACCTTCTTGGTTTAGCTGGTTATTAAATGACTTGTGTATACATTTGTGGCCTGGATTTGAACAATGACTCCCGTCTCTCAGTCTAGGAGGGGGAGATGTGGAGACAGATGAGGGGAGAGAGAGAGAGGAAGGTTACCAGGGAGAGGAGTGAGAAGGCATCCGCTTGTGTTTAAAAAAAAAAAAAAAAAAGTGTTGTGATTTTTATCACAAATTGGCTCAGAATACAGACTGAGCCACTTGATTCCTTCCCTCCCAAGCTTAGCAACAAAATCAGGGGGTGGAAAAACCGCTAACAACAGGAAAAGGGTGCTGTTGAAAGGAATCGTTTCATTTGCAGCTCTTATATGTAGGGTTTGGGCCTTCCTCAAAGCCCCATTTGGTGTCTCAACCTTCTCCGGCCTAATTATCAGGTGGTTTTGTTTATTTTCTTCATTGCTAAGGTGGCCCCAGAATTTAGCCTTCTATTTCATACTCTAAAGGACTCTTGTTGAGAAACAATTTGATGGATCTGGAGCTTCATTTTTAGTACATAGATTTGATTGTGAACATACAGACATGCATCTTATGGTTATTCATATCAGACATACACATTACTTAGCATTTATATTGCATTTATGAAGCATATTTATATGTGGAGGATGCTTGCTTTACTATCATTTTTATGGGTTTTGAATGGCTCTGCATGCTTGGAAGTAATTGCATTTTTTTTTGAAACTATGTTTCTGGTTTGTATTATTATTCATTGGCTTCCTTTGGATTAATGTGAGATTTATTCTTGTTATTGTCCCTTAGTTTCATTGTGACCAATTAAGACAGATGCCTATCATTTGATCTGCATTACAGAACTAGATGTGCATTCATAGAGTGGCTCTTTTCTTTATTTTTAATTGGGTTTGTTGGGAGTGATATTGAGGGCCCTGGATTTACAATGAGGGGAAAGGGAGGTGGCTTATGGTATTATTTTGCATCCAGCATCTTGCCAAATGAATGTTAGAACAAATCAGTTTTCTCAAAATTCCACCCCAGTCTTTGTATGTGTGTACCTTATGTCCCGTGAACATGAAGCACAGCTGAGCTGGAAGGTGAAATGCATTCATTTTATTTAATAGTGCTGCTATTTGATGTTCATTCCTTCAGTATCCAGGCACCATTTTATAGTTCTCCCAAATATTGTGTTACAGGTCTGCTTCTGTAAGTAATTAAGTAGGAAAGTAGGATTGCTTTTGAAAATTTAAGTATTCCCAAGAACACTGGGATAGCTATTTCCAAATCAGCCAGCTTATACAATGAAATGAAAGAGAGTGAGCAAAGCTTAGCTGGAGAATGGCTCATGCTACTATGTGCTGAAATAGGAGGGGGGTGTAGTTTATAAATGCTTACTAGGATCTGCTTGACCTTTTATTATGTCAAGGTTTTAAGGCAGCTCAGGAAGACTAAAGATGCCTGATATGAGTAGCATACAGGGCTCCATTACCACCTAGGATAATGGATTTCATTGAACTAAAGCCAGAAAAATCCTTGCAGGTAAAAGTGTGTTATAATATCGCATTCATCATATATACTGATTTCAGTCATCTGCCTCTTCTCCAACAATATCACTCTGGATATCTTAAAAACATTTTTTGCAATGTAAAATAACATAATTTTTTTTGCCTTCATCTTTCATTTGATTTTAACACTTCCCCCTTGTTTATAATTTTTACATGTTTCAGGTTTATTGTTTAATTTTTCTGAGAATAATTTTTCTATTTGGTTTATACATGGGACACATCCTTAGTGAGTTAATTTAACCTGCTCATAGTATGTCATATGTTATATAGATTCACAACTCTGTAAACTCATGCTATTATGTGCCTAAATGTAACAACTATATAAAGTAGGGCAAGAAAGGAGTTACTGGGCTTATATGTCATATCAATTTTTTATAACACTTTGTGTCCTGAATATTTTAATGATAACTTTGACTGCCCAAAATTAAAATTTCTGACATATCTACAATAAACTAAAAAAAAAAAAGATATGTAGCAATTAGCCCTGTTTCATACAATGAAAGCAGATAGCATAGGGCTTTGTTGTTATTTCCTTTGTGTTGAGTTTCCATTTGGATGTGGTTTTTATGGACAAAGTTGGTACAGTTTGAAAAGAGGCACATCACTGTCTGCCTTAGGCTTAGTACTCACTGTAAGTAGTCTGTTTCAGCTCTATCGCCAGGCTCTGTGTCTGAGGAAGGATTCAGACACTATTAGAATTGTTTCATTTGAAGAAGAAAAAACTGAGAGATTTCAGTTTTTTGTTTGATAACAATTATTTGTTTCAAATAAGCTGATGTTTTACATAGGGGTTGTATATTGCTATTTTGTGGAATGTAAAATATGGTCAATGGGCTTCAACTTCATTAAGAAGAATGAAAATTAAAAATATGAAATGTAGAAGTTCCTCTTAGTAAGTGAGAATAGTTACGTGGATAATCAGATAAGGTGGTGCATTCTTCTCTCATTGAAACCTCCAAAAGTGTGACCTACATATGCATTTGTCTGGGATGGACTAGTATCCCTCTCAAGAATTCCTCTGGCTTTTTCTAGAGTTAGTCATCCTTTTAAGAATGTGAGTTGTTTACTACCAGGTACTTCTAGATCTACAATAGCTAGACTCCATTTTGTAATTGGCTTCTAAATTACGAAATCTGGATATTTAAAAAAAAATCTATTGATCATCTGCTTAGAGAAATTTTTATGTAATTCTGCCAGTATGCAGGGATTAATCTGTTCATTAGAGCCCTTCTTTCTCAGCAGCTTAATGAAATGCAATGCCAAATACCTACACTAAAAGTTTTCCCTCAGCAGGCAAGGTGGTGAACACCTGTAATCTCAATGACTCCAGAGGCTGAGGCAGGAGGATCACAAGTGCAAAGACAGTCTCAGCAACTCAGCAAGACCCAGTCCCAAAATAAAAAAATAAAAAGAACTGGGTATGTAGCTTAATGGTAAAGCACCCCAGGATTCAACCCCCAGTACCAAAAAAAAAAAAAAAAATACTCCCTGTTGTATGGTTAATGTATTGTATAATGAAAAATGTATTATGTTACTTAGTAGAGCCTAGATACAAAGTAATTCAAGAGCTACCAAGTTGAAAAAAATATATGTAATGAATAATACATACAAAATGATTTTTAAAATATGCTATTTAAATGTGTTGTTTGAGTAGAAGGTACTAATTACCTTTTACCCAAACATTGTCTTGAAAATGCCATTCTTGTTGGACTATTACAGTTCAATATTTTGACAGCCATGAAAACCCTTAGTAAAACTTGTTTTAGTTAAAATGCACATACTTTAATTCTTTACTTGGTAGTAGTTATTTCCTAATTTTCAAAGTGACTTCAGGGATATTTTAATTTTATGTTCACACTCTCAGTTTCCTTAAAAACTTTGTGGAGGGTAAAACTGATTTAGAGTGTCTTAGAAAATATTTGGAGACTAAAATCTCTTTTCTGTATTTCTAATTGACTCATGAAAAGGTTAGTGTTTTGTTTCTTGTTGTAGAGGCTTAGAAGAAAAACAGATTGATCATGGAAATTTCAACATAAGTAACTCAATAATCAGCTTTCATTGCAATAAATAAACTAGGTTAAACTCCGGTGTAACTTTGAGAATTTAGATAAATTCCTCCTTTATATATCCTACTATTTTTCTTCAGGTGAAAACATGCTTACAAACACAATGAATTAATGAATTTGCTAATAACTATTAGTAGAATTCTTATATGATTAGCATAACTTGCATATGCCAGCAACATAAAATTTCCTTGGCGGATATAAGATACACATTAAAATAGATAATGATGAAAACAATATAGTTATAATTAGTACTATCATAATCTTATTTTAATGTAATCACTAATAGTTCATAAGTGTACTTCCCTTTTTTATTTTTTGTTTTATACACTCAACAGATCAGATCACTTGAGTTTTTATCATCATAATTATTTTATATAAATGGAAACAAAGTCACTGAGGTTATATTTGTCCAAATTTTTGTTTGGTTCATGGTCAAACAGGGAGCTAGATTTCAAGTCTTCCAGGCCCAAATCTACCATATAAGAAGGTATAACAAATTGCTTATTTGTTTTATAAAATATAAAATATTGTAAATCTACATTATTTGGCTCATTTTTATTTGAATATTTCAGGTACCACAGTTTGCTTTTTGACCATATTGAATCGCCAAACAGACTAAATACATGTGTAAAATATCTGCAAAAAAAAAGAGACACAAAAATATTTTGCAAAATATCTGGGTTTCTTGATATTTCAGGAACGCATAGAAGCATTTGTCTAGGTGAAAACCCAAACTTTGTTGTACTGTGATATAAACTAAAAAGCTACCTGCTAAATTCTGAGCATCTCTCTACCTCATATTCTTAAAAATAAAACAAATGTTGTTATAAAATAAGTGCACTTCTGTTTAAGAACTTTCTGATGTTTTCCTGGGCAAATTCTTCTAAAACTTTTCTGAAATATCAAAACTTGATATTTTTCCAAAAACAATCTAATATTTTGGTTTCTTTTATTTAATTTTTTGAGGGGTACTGGGAATTGAACCCAAAGCACTCCACCTCTGAACTATATAGCTATATCAGCCCTGATTTTATTTTTATTTTGAGACTGCATCTCAAAATTGCCCTGTCTCAGCCACCCAAGTAGTTGGGATTACAGGTATATGCCACCAGCACCAGTACTCACCAGTTCTTGATTTTTCTTTTGACCGTCCAAAATATACACTTTCTCTGACTACATGGTAATTCAATCCTGCAACTAGCAAATCATGCTATCTGAGCTAACATTCCATATATGGAAAAAGGTGTCCCTCATAATTAACTAGCTTGCAATAAAAGTAAGACCTATTGCACTAAAGATAGTCTATTTACAGCATTATTCACTGATATAATTAAATTTTGTTTTTCAAATTTTTTCACTTGA